CTCTGTCTTGACCGACAGGTTCGTTGACTGCACTGCATACACTCTGCCTCTCTCTGCTAACAATGTTTTAATCACAATTACGAGAAGATCTTTAAAGTGCTTATAGAACAAAAGGAAAAAATCATGACACCTTGGCAACTAGCACTGCAAGAATCGAAAGTATACCCCTGTCCTGTTGTCCGGTTGTAATATATGGGAAAACAAACTAAGACTAAGGTGACAGAAGTACTGAAGTCGAGGACTGAGGACTGAGGAGGTATAAGAAAACGAAACCGGAAGTTAAGGATGGCCTTGTTTTGCCAGGTTGTCATTTTCAAATTGTTACTGTTATAAAAATCATTTCCACGGTGTTTCAAATGTAATGTAAATTAAATGATCTTTTTTCGGTAACCCTGCTGCTTCAATTCTATTAATACTATTATGTTTTCATCTTGATTTAAATGATAAGATTGAGATTTGAATTGAAAATTAACCAGATGCAAACACCACATTCGTGTACAATGTTGGCTAAAAGATCTTAGAACTTGGGACCGTTGGGGTCATTGGCCTGACCTCTGATTTTTTCATAACATGAAAGTTCTAATGCTCTTTGCATCATCCGAGCAAAGCTGAAAAAAACAAACCCTTACAAAATAAACAATGAATTAGGGTTCCCTCACAGATTTATTGTTTTCCTTTCTCCATTAAAGGGGGGTAGCTCGCTTATAGTAACTTTACCGTGGGAAGGGAGATAACCGAATAAATAATAACAATGTGAACAAGACGTCAAGGGTTAATTTCCTTGTACCTTGACATGGCACAGGTGATCAAATTATCTGCTTTTGTTGTAGTTGCTTTATTTTTAGGGGGGGGGGGGCGGGTCGTTTTGGACGAGTTTTATTCCTTCATCCCCTCGTAATCAACTGGTATAGCAAAAGAAACTTGACGTTTCTGGTCAAATACTGTAAAACCAATGACGTAGCTACGGTAGACTGGATGTCCGTCGGGGCGCTTTTGAAGATTTGGCCACCAGCTTCCTCCATTCCTTCCGGTCTTCAGCTTTTCTGAGCGTGTCTTTGAGTTCCAGGCCTGTCCATTCCTTGATGTTGTCCTCCCAACTCTTCTTCGGTCTGTCTCTGCTTCTGAACGCTGCCTTGCAGGATCATCTTGGCAAGGCCGGATGAACGGATGGTGTGTCCATACCAATGCAGTTTGCGTTTCCTGACCAAAGTGAGAAGGTCAGCATATGGTCCAATTTCGTTTTTGATCCGTTGTTTGACTTCATCATTTGTGGTGTGATCTTTGTATGTGATACAAAGGATTTTTTCAGTTATCTTCGTTGGCTTTTCTTTGGCAATGTCGCATGGTGGAGCCCATCCCTCTCCGTGCCAGACCACAGCCGAAATCCTCCCACCCGGTGGCTCGCCTTGGTTTCGAACACGAAGCCGTTAGGTTCATCCGGGAACTTTTTTCGCCCTGGCAGGTCACTGCATCTTGTGGTTACGCCTAGTGATGCCGTGTTAATATCACCCACTCACAAGGTTAGCTATAGCTAGGCACGCCTGCTGAGGCGAGGTCCGGGGTATGGCACTTGGAGCCACGCGTGAGAGATTTAGGAGTCGGAGGAAGAGCCGTAAGCCTGTTTATATATTGTTATTATAATATAACATTTTTTCTAACCCACATTATGCATCCTTTTTCACAAATTTTGTTATTTAAAATTTATATCATTAATCTCAGCGGGTCCTTCTGCTCCAATTTCATTGCCGAAGAACAAGCTATCACCAACACAGCTAACTACATCAACTACTTGTTTGACACTAACCCACTTGCTACCACAGACATCGTTATCTTTACAGACAGCCTTTCAACACTAGAGACGCTTGGGGTTGGGACTGATGTGAACAAAGATATATTGTACTTGATTTGGAGTCTACATAATTTGATAAGTAGGCACCACGTCAGAGTAGACCTACAATGGATTTTTGCCCACACTGGGATACCGGGGAATGAAAGAGCTGATGCTCTGGCAAAAAAAGGAGCTAGCCTCCCTCAGCCTGAAATTCCTATGAATTACACCACCTGCTGCCAAATGATCAAGTCAAACCTCTAGGAAGAGTGGATGAATGATTGGGCCACAGGTACGACAGGAAGGAGGATGTATGGCCACATGAATAAACCACTGGTCAAAGATCCAATCAATGAGTTGAGGAGGGGAGATCGATCCATAATCTTCCGACTTAGAACACAACATGTACCCCTCAACCAACATCTCAACCGAATTTGGAGTAAAGCAGTCTGCTGCCTGCCCACTATGTGACTACCCCTCAGAGACAGTGGAACATCATCTGTTCTTCTGTAGAATACTAACTGATTTAAGGGGAAGTTTTCTTCCCAAGCTACCCCACACATCTAATTGCCTCTACTCTTCAAGACAACAATTAGAACAAACATGCAACTATTACCGAATGGCATCATGCAGAAGAGTTAACGCTCAGATGCTACTGGATCGCTAACAACAACAACAACAACAAATTTATATCATACCATATGGGACCTTTGAAAGTTGTACACAGAACTTAACATTGAAAACTCTATTCAGAGACTGAATAATTATAATTATGTAGCCTATTCCAATACATGTATTCACGTTCACTAGTATGTTGATGACAGGTTAGAGTTGGCTAATCATTTTATGAGACCCTAGGTGCATCAAACCAGAGCAGGGATGGGAGAGGGAGGGGGAGGCTGTGTGTGTATGTGTGTGTGTGTGTGTGAGTGTGTGTGTGTGTGTGTGTGTATGTATGTGTGTGTGTGTGTGTGTGTGTGTGTGTGTTGGGGGGGGGGGGTAGATGTATATTTTAAACCAGAATAAATATTGCTGTACTGATATTTATTCTCGACATCCTCTCGGAAAATAAATTTGCGGAGCATAATTGTGCACGAGCTATAAAATAATATTAGGTATACAAGGTTGTTTAACTAGTCCTGCTGTTAGTTTTTGTTTGTTCGTTGTTGTAAGATTCTCGTTTAACTCCTTGCAAGATACAAAGATGCAGATGTAAGAGTAAAGAAGAAGGAATGGAGACAGAAAAAAATAAGATTATGCACAAACTAAATTATGTAGTAGAGTATACTAAGTGTAGATCTTCATATGTGAGTAGTGAGCGTAGGTGTTCATACATAATATACTTACTGATCTACCACAACTGGGATTTCACTTTCTGGTGTTCATTAAGTCTCTTAGTTGTTTCCTCTACGCCAGTTGATCAAGAGGTCATTAACCTCTCAAGGTTTGTGAACAGATACATTAAATTCAAAATATCTTCTTTGTGTACAGAATAGTTTGATGCGTTTGCGTCAGACACAGTAGGCGGAGTATTTTTTTAAATTCTCTGCTTCATAATATATATGTGACCATATGTAACTACTATAATTAAAGTAGAGAACACAAATGTTGTCACTCCTAGATGGTGCCTATAATTTACATAAAAACATGAGTTTCAATTGGATGGGTATTTCACCCAATACAGCAGTGCCCCTCTTGGACCTACAGGACCTTAGTGATGACTGCTGGATTTACATTACCAGCATGGAATTAGTAGAAAAAAAAACAGTTGTCAGTTTTAAAAACAAAACTCATAATTTAAAGTATTCGATGAGTGGAAACGGAAAGAAAGTTTGTTTTTTTAAAACCTTCGTGAGAGCTGCCAGCCCAGGTGCTGTTTTAGTTATGGCAGAGGTTTTTCGGCGCTCGCAACTGCATAAGGTCATAAGAGAGCCAAGGGGTGGGTGTCAACAGAGAAGTCTTTACAAGGAATCAAACTTACTCAGCTCACCTCTCTAGCTTCAACAGCACAAAGTCTGCTTCGACTATCAAGGCACCCCAAAAATAGCGGGTAACAAGAGCGTGACAAACATACAAAAGAAGTAGAGAAAAATGACGATAGTAAGGATTAGGAAAGAAAAAACAGCAGTTCCCTGTTGTAGTTCAGGCACAGTTATGAGCTTGACATTATTGGATCGACCCATTTACATTTCTACTGTGCATTGGAACGAGAAATGTCCCCCCTTTGGGAATGGCCTAAAGACACTTCAGTCAGTTGCACCGCCCTGGGGGTCAGCCCAGGTGCGATTGCTCAACAAACTTACTTTTGGAAAACAAAGACAGATAAATTATCTTTGTCTTTGTTTCGACTTTAATATTGGGACTGTCAACAGTCTTCTTGAAAGAATACAGTATTTAGACCTTGGCCGGAGATACAGCAAAAGTGATACACCCTGCTGAAAGTCGCACATCTCGGTTTATTTGTAAATGTCAGTATGGATGCGTTTATATGTATTTTTGTTGATAGGTAGGTTGAATGTATACATGTGGGCTGTATCAGTATGAATGTGCACAAGAGGAAAATAAACGCATGCATGCAAGCTTGCCAGCATGCACGCACACACGCAAAGAGAGAGAGAGTGAGAGAAAGAGCAAGAGAGAGAGAGAGAGAGTGAGAGAGCAAGAGCGAGAAAGAGAGAGAGAGAGAGAGAGAGAGAGAGAGAGAGAGAGAGAGAGAGAGATGAGTTTCACAGATAGTGGAATTCACGACCACATCATGCATGATTCGAAAAATATGTAGACAGCTAAGCCTACACTTTTATTAAAGAATGACCATCAATGGTCAAAAATGTACTTTAATATCATTGTTAAAAGGTATTGCACTAGATTTGTCCAGTTGTATATATCTTGAATGCCAAATGACAGAGAAAATTGGTATCTTTGTTCTCCTGTAAAATTTTCCTCATATGGAATTCAGAGTTTCATCAAGGGACCATCATTATGAGAGTCTAAAAGGGCAAAAATACTCGCAAGTTAAAAAAAAAAGAGGTTTCTTGTTGCTCATATCCTCATAACATTTTTTATATTTCATAAAACAGGATGTTGTGTGATCATCTTATTCATACCTAAATATGATCATACACATATATATATATATGGCGATGCATTCCAAAAAACAAAACAATAAGACTTGAAAAGCAGAATAAAATTTATTAATACACTGGAAAAAGAATTGGCAGATTTTTCCAGAGTATATATAATAATTATTCTGATCAAGGGGTCAATCCAGCATGACTGCGATATCCATTCACTACACCAGCTGTAACTTTCCTTGGAAGATGAGGAGAGATAATACAATTTTGCCCTTAAATTCTGGGAATCTGAATACATTGTTATGTGTACAAAAATGAAATCTGATTAGTGACACTATTTTCAAACCACCATCTACAATAAATAATATCAGTGATGGCCTCTTGCCCGTACCATTTACAGTAGTTACAAAATTCTCTTGTGTTACTCTTGTTCAGTGTTAGCCGAGTTACAATGTTTAGGCCCTCTGCCTTACATTTAAAAGACATGACTTCAATCCCACATGGAGAGATTTTCATAAAATATCTCTATCTGTCTGATGGAATATAGTATTACGCCTGTGACCTCAATTGCGTAGACAGACCTCTAAAACATATAAAGTCAATCAGTAACAGAATTTATATTCTGGGGTACTCATCCCTGTAAAACCACTTTCTAGATTTCATGATATCACTACCACAATCATAACAATAACAATAATATCAACAATAGTAAAGCTCCTTTATAGTGCATCTAACAATAGTGAGGCTCTACAAATTTTACATTTTTCTTGACCAAAAAGAAAACAGTCTTTCATATCACTATACAGAAAACAAATACATGTAGGCCGTCATTGATTGAGCACACACTGATCATGAACACCCATGCATACTTGTGCACGTGCATGTGCAAGTGCACACACACACACGCACACACAAACACACACACACATAGACACACTCATACACACACACACACACATACAAGCACATACATACATTCCCTCCAATCTATTATTCATACACAACCACAAACACACACACACACACACATACACACACACATACACACAGACACATTCAATCACAACTGATAAAACCTGAAGAGGGAGCACATACTGTCAATATAACAATGCAACAGTAACAAGTAACAAGGTAAAGAGGACAACAGATAAAATGAGATAGTTATCCTAGGTTTGGCCATTTTTTAAAAACGAGACTTCAAGTTGCAAGCTTCTGAATGGCTTCAAAACAATCTGTTTGAAGTGATAGGATTGTCAGAAAAAAATTATCTGATCACATTTCTTGACAACAGTAAAACTGCATAATTTTGGCTTTGAAGTTGTTATTTGGTAAAACACAGGTCTATATCCTTATTCATCACTCATCCCCCTCATGGTTTTTAATGGATTTTAAAAGTTCGTAGCTTTGGGGTTTAAATATAAGATACTTCTGCAGACTTCAAAATACATAATTATGAAATTTAAATAATTCGTATCAGAATTCACTGAAAGCTGATACCCAAAGGAATTTTCTCTTTTTTTTTTTTTCTGACTTTATGGAAAATCGCTTTTTATACCAAAGAATCCTTCACAAAAAAACCCCTCAAAATTATTATTTATTTTTTTTTAAAGTTTTAGAAAGCATCCAGCAAAATGATACATCAAAAGTTCCCTATTTCTCACTTTAAAAAGAAGCAAACCTTAAAAAGCACATTCTTGTGAAGAAAAAAAAATTAAATACAGTCAGACCCAATCACTGAATCTGAATATATATAATGCAAACATTTGTTTTTATTGCACTATTTAATAAGACAGGAAAAGGGGCCAACTGAAAGTGATACAAAGAGTTTAAACAGTCACAAAACTTTTTCAAAGAAGCAAAACAACTGAAACTGACAAAATGAATGTTATAAATATGTGGTCTTTAGGACACGTCTGAGGATTTTCCCGCTAGGATTTTTCGGTATATTATCTACGAACTGGACACCTCCTCGAAGTTTCTTCGTGTGAGCAACTCGTTCTGAGAAAAGAAAAAAAAACAATTTCAAAACAATCAAAACATTGTCTCTTTATGATCAGGCCTGCTGATAAGGACATTGGAGAGTTGCATTGCATTCATGTGTGTTTTTTTCTGTGCTAGCCATCTCTTTGGACAGTCTTTGTCAAAAATAGCTTTGTAGTCTCTAAGTTACGAGATAAACCACTCTCAATCTGTAAGAACCATGTGTCTTTCCCTCACCACCAACCCTTATAATTCTACTTAAGCAACTTCTTTCATTTTTCCTGTTGCTGTAATACACACAAGATGAAAAAGTAGATCAGAGCTACCTGTATTTTCCATATCTTTTTGACACTATGCTGGATAGCACAAATATTGAGAAAAAGCCATACTTGGTCATAGAGATGAGTGATGTTGCATTCAATTCCAGCCATAAAAAAACAATAACTATGAACATAAGTTGCATAATGAGTTAATGAACCAGTAATTGACACCCTATAAGTCTAAAAAGACGGGGGCGGGGGAGGGTTCTTGTCTTCTTCTTTTTCTCCTCCTCTTTTCTTGCTTGTAACATCCATCAATTTCTCCATTTGGCTGAACTGTGACAAGATATCTAAAGCTCAGTATTAAATGTCTTATCCTCATGAAAAGATAAGAATTTCTAAGAATCAAATTTCTTACCTTCAACAAACTTTTTTATCTCTTCTTCTGTGACGTTTGAGCCAGATTTCTTGACGATAAAGGCTTTGGGGAGCTCTCCAGCCATCTCGTCCGCCACTCCGATCACTGCTGCATCCTGCACATCTGAGTGGCCCTGGAGTAAATCCTCCAACTCAGCAGGAGCAACCTGTTAGGAAAACGAGACTCACTTATGAAAAAGGAAACCATCTAATTAATGATAATTTTCTCTGTTCATAGACCTACTAAGAGTAAACAAAGCTGACATCAAAACTTTACCTCTCAACAGTTTCACTGTTTTGTCATACTTGTATCATACTCATTTATATGGATTCTGTCTATAATTTTGCTTTTTCTAGTGTGTCATATTTCTTTCTTTTTAAACTCAGACTTTCATTACATTTGAAAAAGGGTGAAAACCTGTCACCTTCCATATAGCCAAATCCACAGAAGATTAGCATATAAGTGCCAAGAAAATGGGTGGGCCAGGAGAAGAAATTAAATGGAAAAAAAGAGTCCTCTGATATTGTGAACCTTAGGAAATGAGACACCAAGCCCAAACCACGAGAAATGAATCCTGAAAGTCAGGGCATAATGTTATGTCCTCCAACCCATGACCTCTGCAAAGAACAGAATGCAAAAGTACTCCCTCTTGTCCCCCTAGATCTAGGTAAAGAAGCAAATATTCTAATCAGCCATGAAAAAGTACACACCTGAGAACCTTTGTATTTGATGAGCTCTTTTATACGGTCCTTTGCATAGAATGCTCCACTTTCTTCAGCATATACAATATCCCCTGGAGAAAGAAAAGCAACAATGGTTGCAACAACATTAACTTAATCTAAATGTGATTTCTTGATAGAGAGTCAACAATACAGGATCACAGCATTCTGAGCTAGATATCTCAATCATGAAGGATGAAACAACAGGGAGACCTGTATAAAGTGAAGAGCCCTACAAAAGACACATGTTGATAGGCCCCGTAAATAAAGTGAAGAAGATCTGGCAAAAACTTTGGAAAGAGCCTAGAGAATGCAAACTTGAGAGGCGCTTGGGTGCATTTTAAGATAGATGTTCATGACAGTCATTTCATTCTTTCAGGGCAGTCACATTTTCAATTTAAGTTTATGTTAAAAAAATACTGCACTAATACTTCTACCCTTTTATTCTTTTATTCCCTCATATAAAATGTCTCTCACTCAAGATAGAGCCCATTGTTTTTGCATGACAGGTTTTAAGTGTAAGATTCAGAAGTAGTACACAGGCTAAAAAGGCAACTGTTCAGAAATTTCGAACTTGTGACATTAAATGTTTATCCATAGCGGTCATCATTCATTTTCATCAAACCACAGAACTGCTGCACGCTGACAAAAACGCCTCATTCTTATTCACACCAGTTCGGGATAAAAAGGCGTTTTGTCAGCTTAACCCTTTCAAAAAGGGATGTTCTTCCAAATTGAATGCTTATTTATTCAAAAACAAAAGTCACGGTTTCACTTTGATTTTTTCAATCAAGTAGGATAACTGATCAGACTATTGATTTAGCAAATTAAAAAATTTGTCGTCAAATTTGAAAAAAGGCGTTTTATCAGCTGAGAGCAGAGGAAGGGGCTCTCATAGTCTAGAGATTAAGGTGTCTGCCTCTCATTCAATAGGTCCCGGGTTCAAATCCCGACACTGACAAGAAAATTTTTTCTCTAAAATTTCCTCCTTTCACATCCTTTCCTACTCTCTAACAATGTTCTGCAGTCTGCTTTCATCTCCATTTTCCGCCCCCCACTCCAATCCCCTCACCTCCTTTGCCCCCACCTCTAGATTCCTGACTCTTTCTGCAGCTTTTCTTCTGCTACTCCTTGGCTCCTTCTTACAGCTGTCTTTCAGCCACACCCCTGATCTTATGGTGTGTAAGATCTAACACCTAGCCTTCTCCGATAAGGGAGAAAAGTCTCGGAGGTCCCGCATGCAAGTTGCGCATGTCAAAGATCCAAAGGTGGTCTAAAAAACTTCCTACCAACTGAAAATGTTTAGAGTGTCCCATGCGCTCATATAACCTTATGCAGTTGCGAGCGCCATAAAACACTACCCAAAAAAAAATAAGGGCAGAGGGGGAAGCAGTACCTGTGTGCAGCCACCCATCTGAGTCAATCATCTCGTCGGTGGCTTTCTGGTTGTTGAAGTAACCCTTCATGACCTGTGGTCCCTTCACACAGAGCTCCCCAACCTGCCCCGGGGGGAGGGCTTCAAATGAGTTCACATCAGCAACCTATTGAACAAATGAACAAAGTGTTTATCTTTTGCTTTACCCTTCCGTCTCATTTAATGCTTTTGTAACATCAAGCCATAATAACAGCTCTGAAAGAAATGCTAGCGCAAACAACCAGCTCGACAAAAAACATTTGTAATTTTGACTTTCTGGGAACCTGTACCTCCCTTACTTAGTCTAGACAGGAACAGACATTCTTCTTTACATTTCTTTCCACAGTTAACATTTGAAGGGACCAATGTTATGACACAGGTCAACAGTCATCAACAGAGTTATGCAAATTAGTTTTTGCTTTTGGGACATAAATAAGTAGTGTTGATTGATTCATTTACTGACTGGTTTTCTCACAGAGAAAACAAATAAATGAGTGATCCATCTAATACAATCTCAGCCTTAAGCAACATTGAAAAAGACCAGCCAAAAGAAACAGAAAATACTTCTCTGCAATAACATGATTCTTCAAAAGGAGTAAAATGTAAAATAAAAAAGAAACACAGGCAAGCCAACAAGAGTAGCCTACTGAAAAAAAGAAGTAATTTTGAAATCCACAACTGAGAAGCATGTAAAAAATCCTTTCATAATAATTTAAGAACTCAGAATTAAGTCTGGGAAATAACAACGGAGGTTTTACCTTTCCTAAAGTGTTGACAGTCAACTGCCCAATAGACCCCGGCAACTCTTTGCTGTCTATTGTTACAAGAGGCGATGTCTCTGTGAGACCATACACTGAAACGATACACAGGCTTGGCACTTCAAACTCTGAGACACTAATATAATACACAGATCTTTCAGACATATCATTTCATATGAAAACCCTATTCCTGAGACTACCTATCTGTGCATGATGATTCCTGTGAATTTTATTACTGTGTTTATCAGAACTCACTCTGTATGTAAAGCCAGGTAAATTGAATTACACACTTGATTTATGATTAATATCATGATGGTGAAAATAAACTAGAGGCAACAGAAATGAATGTGGTTTATTAAGGGGAGGAGCAACCCTTGATTTAGCAGATTTCGTGTCAGGCTATGCAAATTTTATGTTGGCTGATTTTTGAAGATCAACCAGTGTTTTGTCTAAAAATAGTATGGATACAATTGAGAAAGTTTTTATTCTTCTAGTAAATTGCTTTTGAAAACATGAGGGTGGATTATTATAGTGAATTTTCGCAATGATTGTCGTTTTTCGCAAAATTTAATTTTTTTGCAGTTTTTTCCCTACTCCTTCCTTAGTTTTCATCCTTCTGACAAAAAACTTTCAGGAAACATAGACGGCAAGGCTGCAGTCAATGTACCTGAGAGATATTTGCTAAAAAATAAAAAACCTTTCCATTGGCAAGCGATTACACAACCTATATTTTACTATGCCTAACTTATAAGTGTATTTAGATTTGATCTTGGGCAACAAACATAGAAAATGGTCCTCAAGGGTAGCTCCTCCCGTTTAGAGAGTTGCCAATTTCACGAAAGGAAAATTAAGAAATCAAACAAAAGAAGCCAGTGGGACAGTCTCCCTTGCTGAGAGGTAGCCCAAATACAGCTAACTAAGAAGGAGCTACAAATTTTTAAAAATACCTTTCTCTCTGAAAACTGTTTTGTCGATTGGCAAAACATGAATTACATATTTATGAGAAAGCATTATTTTTATGATGAACAAGAGTCCAAATACTCAAGGGCATGAAAAATACTCACCCTGATTAAGTGATTGTAAGTCCGGGTGTCTCTTCAGACAGGCAAAACTCACATCTTGTCCCAGCGGAGCGGCTCCGCTGTAGATGCGTTGGAGGGAACTCACATCGTACTCCGAGACCACAGGGTTTTTGGCCAGGAACACCACCAGAGGTGGCACAAGGTGGGCCAAATTGATCTATGGAAGAGGTGGCATTGACATCTTATAATATCATATTACCTCCAGAAATGAAGCTATTGAAGTCCAAAATGTATAATTGCTTTCATACTTTTTTTTTTTTTGGCAGGGGATTTTGATAGTTATCTCCCAATACTCTGAACATCAATCAATGTTACATGGACAACAGTTATTAATTTTCATTTCATTGAGACTTTCAGTTGTGACATGGCACATAATCTTCGCATGACAAGTGCAGTTAAAATCATCTAAAGCGACCACCCATTGTCGAGTAGCACTATGGCTGTCATAGACAGGAGGACATATTACAAAGTGTCATTATAATGTAAAAAAGAACACAACGGGGAGAAAAAATGAGAAGCAGCCATTTGTACAGGTGATTGTCTTATACAGGAGGCCATTAAAGCAGGTTCAACTGATTTTTTGTTCCCATTCATTTCAAGAAAGATCATGAGGCTTGAGATGATTGCATCTTTTCTTAACCAAATCTCATTTCCAATATCTTGTTTCCATATAGATCAGTTTGATCGGGAAGAGGAAGTCAATTACACAATTGGTAAGATTAGTAAGCTGAACACATGTTTCACACAACTATATATAGAGAAAATAGAAGTGTGTCGCTGTGGCTACTTACTTTGTTGTCCTGTATGCACTTCAAGCAGGAATGTGCCTCAAACTTGGGGACGTAAAATAGGTGACCTCCACCACTGAGAACTCCGAACTGGACAACAACCATGCCGTAGATATGATACAGGGGAAGCAGGCCCAAGGCACGGTCATTAGGGGTAATAGGCAACCCTGCACTAGAAAAAACGGGTCAGACAGAACGTCTTAAAATGATAGTGACTCCACCTCGATGCAATATTGTTAGTTTACAACAGTGAACACAAGATGTTAATGCCCTAACTCTTTCTTAAATTTGTAATTTAGAAACTTTATTAGCTTACTACTACCCCCTCACCCCCTACCCCAAACCATCTGAATACAAAAATCTAAAAACTTGAGTAAAAAGGACTAGTTTTTATGTACAATCTTACAGTAAGTTCTAGCAGATAATCTTACTTTTGAAGAAAAATGTTCAATTACTAGAAGCTATAAAACATGGAAATCAAACAAGATTAATGAATAAATAATACAGAGTTGTAATCCAAGATCAAATAGTACCAAATAAAAAAACAAGAATAGAAACTAAAATAACACAAATGTGCCTTATTCTTTAACTGTCAGGAATGCATACTTTACCCGGACTGTAGCACATTGGCAAAGCAGTTGTGATTGGTTAACATGACACCCTTCGGAAGTCCAGTTGTGCCAGAGGAGTAGGGGAGGGTGAACACGTCATTCAGAGGGTCAATGCTGACCTCAGGGTACACGCTGCCGTCATCCTCCAAGAGAGAGCTAAATGGTGTGTAGCCTGGGACGTCGCCAAACACATACTTAGACTGAAGAGTTAACGTTTGTATGGGGTTGAAATCATGGACGTCGATCTTATAACTTAATCCTTCAATTGTTTATGAGAGCCGTATCTATTAAACAGTAGGATCAAATCATTGTCGAAAAGAAAATAACAAACAACGTTTTATGTGCATAAAGGTTTGGCTCTTTGTTTTAACAAACAAATGATGCGAGTATGATTTCCCTGATAGGACATCTGTAGGAACCTCCTCCATAAGATTACAATTGTGTTGATGACGGTGTAAAATATTAACAATTATCGGCCATCCCAATCACAGAGCTAGCTGTAGAGCGGGAATTCATCCTGAGCAGTATTCAACACTATTTATTAAACCAATTTATTATTAGACCTATTAGAAAATTAGAAGAACGATGAAGATGGAGGATGAAAAGAAAAAGAAAGGAGAGGAACTGAAAGAAGAGAAGCTAGGGTCTTGTCCACAAATATAAACAAAGCATTTAAACTGATGGACAAATGTCTTTGTTTTGTTTTTGTAAAGTGTTTTACGGCGCTCGCAACTGCATAAGGTCATATGAGCGCACAGGACACACCTAATATCTTCAGTTGGTAGGAAATTTTGAATTTTCCCCGGGTGGCGGCCGAAGCCTTATCGATTTTAGACCACCAAGGGATCTTTAACGTGCGCAGCTTGCAAACGGGCCCTCCGAGATTTTTTGCCCTTGTACAAGAAGGCTAGGTGTAGATCTTTCCTACCAGAAGATCAGGGGTGTGGCAGAAAGACAGCAGTAAGGAGGAGCCAAGGAGTAGCAGTAGAAAGGCTGCAGAAAGAGTCAGGAGCCCAGAGGAGGGGGCAAAGGAGGTGAGGGGGTGGGGGCACAAAGTGGAAATGAAAGCAGACAACAGAACATTGCTAGAGAGCAGGAAAGGAGGTGAAAGGAGACAATTTTAGAGAAGAAAATTTTTCGCTCGCTACCCGGATTTGAACCCGGGACCTTTGAATGAGAGGCCAACACCTTAACCTCTAGGCCACGAGAGCCCCCGACAAATGTCTTTAAGAAAAATAACTAAATAAACATGTCCACTAAATAAACATATCTACCTCACCTCCTGAACCTTTAAAACACAATCTGTCAATGCTGCGAATAGTACAAGGTATGAGTATGCATTATATATAAACATTGTAAAAATTTCCTCTATTGAGTTCTGTTGATAAAGTGCTGTTCTAGAAATATGCAACATTAATTGTATAAATTAGTGTTTTTTAAAATTTATATAATAAATTCAAATACCTTGATGTTATGTGGTAAATCTTTGCAGTCTAAAGCTTGATCCACTACTCCAGCCAGAGAGTCTAGTGCAAAGATGGAGATTGCTCCACTGTGGTTCATTTGTCGATTCAACTCCACTGAAAAAAGAAACAACAGAACAGAGTAAATATATTTTATTTCGAGTTCCTACTCAAATTCAAATAAAAAAGCTATAAACATCGTAGTTAAAGTGATCATAAAATGAAACGTACATTACTTTTCACCAAATGGTTATAGTATAAAACTAAATGAATAATGAATAGCATTTGTATAGCGCATATCTCTGCTCGACAGCAAGCTCTATGAGCTTTACACTATTATTAAGCCAGCAGACCATAGAACGCTCAGAATCATTCTCAGCTTCCTGGGAAGCATAATGAAGACAGAGTAAAATAAGTTTTGATAATTTAAATAAAACCTACAATGGAAGATGTTTTTTGTTTTTAAATGTAAAAATCAAACAAAATATGAATATCCTCACTTGGAGTATACTGTGGGTTGGCAGGAGAGAACCATAGCCCAAGGCATGAGCTGGCCAACTGAAGCACTGTAAAGTCTATTTGATTAGTGGAGAAGACCAAGATAACGTCTCCCTTTCTGAAGCCAGCCCGGTGAAGACCACTGGCAACTTTGATGATGTTTTCCTTGAGCTGTGTGTACGTATAGGTTTTTCCTGTGGGTACATCTGTCTGACAATGGACAGAAATTCAAAATTCTTTCATTTTCATTTTCTTATGACACAACACTTGTTAAGGAAATAAGATAATGATCAGAATGGTTGTTTTTCAAGCAGAAGTATTTTATGAATTATTAATTATATACAATATCTACATATGAGTATACATATATAGAGAGACAGAGACACAAAAAATAATTAAGAATACTTTTGTTTGAAATTAATATCAATTAATTCTAAAAGCAATGTCAATGATCAGCTCAACGTGATGTACCCTTGAAATCAAACAAACACTTGTGTTTCTTCACACAAGCTCTAAAGACAGTGCGACAACAACAACAAAATCCCAATCAACAAAAAACTTGCTATTTATCATAAGTCACAGAAGATATCACTTGCCATATTACCATTGCTGGACTGTCTTTGTATTCATCGCAAACTTTGAAGAAATATCCGTGCAGCGTCACATTTGTTGGGATGTCGATTTCCTCAATAGGACTTTTAAATATATACTGGGAGGACATCACTTGACGCCACACACATGCTGAGGCACTGAATGATCTAGATTCAAATCCCAAAGCAGCATGAATCCGCTGCTGAAGTATGACACCCATACGAGGACATTTCATCAGAATGTTTACGGCAGAATGCGAGGACGCACTCCTCAGGCAAAGCTGTCTCACTGAATTCGCAAGCATGCTGGAGGTTTCTCAGAAGCTGAAAGAGATGAAAAATGCAGTTTGATTAAAGTAAAATGAAAAGAACTGACACAATAACTGTCTTTTAATGGTGGGAAAACAGCAAGATGGACAAAAAAAAAGGTAAAACAAAGGATCACATAAAGGAGTTGTGAACCTTCACTACCAGTGGCGTCTTTATACCACCTGCAAATAAAAAAAAATTTTTTACAATGTTGTTGATATGTGGGGAATATTTATGCTGTTTTGATACAAAGAAGCATTTCTATCACATTGCTTTATATCCTGAATCTTACAAAGAAATAATGACCGAACCCTATGAAGGGAGACCAAAAACTCTAAGGAAGCCTAAATTAAAAGGACCTGGGCGAGCAGCAGCCTTTACTCTATAGACTGGGATGTCTATTTAAAAATGAAGGAGAAGACCAGAAATTCATACTTATTCTTATGACTTTAAACATTCTACACTTCTACTGACACAAACTAGATCTAATTAGAAGTGGCAATTTGACACAGTCTCTCAGGGCCAACCAATCTGAAGGAGGAAGATCCTTCCAGAAGAGAGATGAAGAACTAGCTCTTGGGAAGTCAAATCTTTTGCATCAGTACGTGAAGAGCCCCACCAAAATACCACACACACACACACACACACACACACACACACACACTCACACTCACACACACACACACACACACACACACACACACACACACACACACACACCGGTCATGTCTTCTTGTACATTATTGTCAAACATGAAAGTATTTCTGAGTCCAATCTAATCATTTGACCACACTACAACAACATAACAGTTCTATGGAAGTCAATTTCCGTTCAAAAACAAAATCATTTGTACTTTAATCACATGCTTCCATCAGAACAACCACATCTTACACAGCATTCATCTCATCACACTTTAACCTACACTACACCACACCACATCATATCATATCATATATCATATCACATCACATCACATCGTATTACAATACACCACATCACATCACATCATAAATCACACGAGGCGCGGTTCGTCCATAGAGCACGGTCGTGCAGTGCCGTCCAAAATTGTTTAATGTTCTATTACGTAAAACACCTACAATAATAAAATAAAAGACGCTAGAAACAAACACTAGCCAAATATATCAAAATATGCTTCTCACTGGCGCCGTAACTGTCATTTCTGTGTCTGTAGCGCCATAAAACATCTACTATGCCATACCAAAGTTCATGCGCTGTATCTAAGCATAGCAGGATATTCAACAGTGGAAACCTGACCTATAAATCGCTCTTTGGGATATCCCAAGCGATGGCGATACATTAATATTAATAAGACGACACATCTCAAATGTGCTCTTGCCGAATAGTGCCGAAACACAGCCCACAGTAGGCAATCTAAAAATAAACGCGATAGACTGTGCAACATTCTCTGCCAAAATTCTGTCAGCCCCGGAGCAATCCAGCGGAGTGCTCAAGTGAATTGTGATTGGTGCATTGTCTTGCCGCTATTTAAGTGACTCTGTGACCGTGAACCTGAGGGAGGTGAACGTGACATACGTAAGTCATCGTCCTATGAGTTGTGCTTTTGAACGGTTTTGTAGTGGAGTGGTGAAAGGTATTACTTGAGCGTTCAGTTCTAAAGCAGGATGAATGAAATTGACGTTTAGCTAAAAAACAGATTTAGTTCTAGAAGTCAAAGCCACAAGTAAAAAGAATGAAAACAGAATCACAAGGTTCTCCCTCACCAACCCAAAGATCCTAAAATTATACACCATCTCCTTTACTATGCCCTTGACTATCTTCGACCTAAGATAGCTTTATTGTGCACGCTCACTTTTTAGACCCACGAGCCGCCCCTGATCACCACATCTCACCACACCACACCACACCACACCACGTCACATCACATCACATAACATCACACTAAACAAAACCATATCATATCACATATATATATTCGCACTGCACCACACCATATCATATCATATCACATCCCACTCTACCACATCACATCACATCACATCATAATATCACACCACACCACACCACACCACACCACATCGCATCAGATCACACCACACTACACAATATAATTGGAATTACATCCTGTCTCTCGGAACCACAACACACCAGAAGCCATCATATCCCACTCTATCCAACAATATCATACAGACTTCAACAAAAGTTAAGGACCACTTGCCATCACGCTGAGTAGTCTTCTTGGGTCGACTTGCACGTGGGTGTTCTTGAACTGATCCAGTTGCTTAATGGCGCTGCCTCAGGCGGACAAAGACAGAGTGTGACACTGCAAGCTTTCTGGTAACTTCTCGGGCCCCAACTCTGTCCTGCAGCCATGCCATAGCTCTGGCACGACCAAAGTCTCTCAGCTTTTGTCTTGGTGGTATGTTGATGCCATACTGGATATTGCCACCAAAGTAAGCACAGTTGAAGACCGTACGCCCGTTTATGACGTGCGCCAGAATTTTTAACTGCGGAATGTCCGTGTGGTGTCGCATTTCCCGAGGATTTCCGTGCTGCACGTGGTGGTTTTGCCTCTTTAGGAAACTTTGCGGTACGCACTGGTAACCCATAAACACTTTCAGAGCAAAACAATTTGAAATATTCCTTGCTGTCTTTTTTTCGGATTTTTTAAAAACCAGGGTTGTCTGTCAAGGTGGTCCTAAACTTTTATGTTGAAGTCTGTACAGGTATCAAATTTCACAGCATTCTTCTAAAATCACACTAATCTCATCCCATAAAACCCCACTACCTCACATCACAGCATATACATCATATTCCACCAAATCACAACACCAGAACACCATTGCATATCACCACCTCTACTATACCGTATAATTACATCACCAACATCACCACATCACATCACATTACAACGACCACTTTGAACACATATATGGTCGCCTTTAAGGACAAGCGGGCTAACCCTGATTTCGGGGGTTTCCAGAAATCTTTACCTACACCAAAAGTGGGCATTTCCCTACCTTTAGGAGAATTTTGGTTTCATTGTCGATGTGTATACTTGTTTGGTTATAGAGAAAACTCTCCTGTCTTATAAAGAAACTGAACAGGGGGCAAAAACTGTACCTTCGATTTTCTCAAAATAGCATTTTTCAGGATAGCCACCATACCACACACCATTATACTTTATACCTCGCCTTGTGCCACTTCAACACACGTAATATAATCACCTCACACATTTCATCCCACTTCACATCCACCCACTCCATCTCACTATTCGTCACTGCTCGTCATGTAACCCCATCTTACCTCACCCTACTTCTCCTTCTCCAACCCCATTTCACCTCGTCTCACCCCACTTTCCTTCACCTGATCCCATTTCACCCCATTTCACCCCACCTCATCACCGTACCTCGCCTCAACTCAAACTCTCTCTCTCTCTCTCTCTCTCTCTCTCTCTCTCTCTCTCTCTCGTCACCTCGTTTTA